GACTGTCCCTCGCTGATATCATAGGAAATCCGTGGTGCTTCATTACGTGGTTTTGCAGTGGCTATGATCTGCATTGGCTATTAACTTGACTGGTTTTAGGAAGGTTCAACGAACGATTCAGAGATCGCGGTAGATTCGAATTGAATTTCCGTTATCTTCTTGTTCACAAGCGTTTCATGGTCGAGATACCCTTCACTTAAATCTTTGGACACCAGCGGCGGGTTCCACGGTATATAATTTTCTTAAGGCCGTAATCTGTTTTGTTGTCTGTTAAAGCGCCAGAGTCTGGCATAAGAAGATAAGTCGTGACGCTGCGCGCTCACGAAGAGAGATGTTTTAATTTTCTTAGAAAAACTGAAACTTTCTTAAATTTACTGTTATTGCATATATAGTTTTAGCGTACTTTTCCGTTGAACGGATGCTTCGTATCTCCACCGGTTAAGTGCTTTCTTCAAACCTTTATGGCTTCATACGGTATACTTCAACCTCATCAGCTAAGATTGTTAAGCATTGTATAATTTGGGAAACTGATAGAAGAGAGGTCAATATCTGACACCGCGTGCTCACGTAGAAAGATGTTATAATTCTTTGTAAGGAACGAAAGGAAATTGATCATTCAAAGGCAAAGTTAACATGCCGGCCATCTCGCAAACTTTGGTGAATTAGATTTATATCAAACTGTCAGCTAAAGGTTTACTAACAAATGATTTCAGGTGTTTAAAATGAAAGAATCGTGAAGAATGGTTTTAACATCTAAAAAATGTACCCTCAGGATGTTATGAACGTTTGTGTTCTCATCTGAATAACAAAACAGTAACGGTAATTAAACGACTGTGAATATATGAAAGTCATGTATTTAAATCACGGTAATTGTTGTTCAACTGCGGATGTTTTGGAATGTAGGGAAAGTCCCGATTGTGTTTTATTGTTTTTGTCCTTTCACTTTCAAAAGCATCCACTACGAAGTCAACAACTTGGTGAGTACGAGTAGACATGTTATATACAAGGGTACACAGCTTTCTATCGTCTACAAATGAATTAGTAATAGTCTACTGTTATTCTGAGTAACTTTGCATGGGTAACGTTTTAATGGCAAAGCCTAAAATGAATGCTGTTTTGTTAATATTTGTCCTGTGCCTATCAAGTCATGCAATGTAATGCAAAAATCGCAGCCAAAGTGAAATTTATTTATTTCAAAGCGACTTCGTTAAACCTTTATGGCTTCACATCTTACCAATCATCCTCATCAACTATGAAAAGGTTTGATTTTAGCGACACTGGCATGATAAGTAAGCTCATTTCTTGGTAATAAACTGCTAGAATAATCTTTTCAAATTTTCCATATTGCAGAATGTCAGGAAAGTTTCCAGAACGCTGTAGTACTGAGGTTTATTATCCAACTGCACAAAGTAGAGAACAAATAACGCGCGAATAGAGTAGAAATATCCTACGATATTATACGTGTATTTGGACCGTTAGTTATTTTGTACTGAAAAAAAAAACCAGGCTAACCAGTCGGCTGCGCACAATACGCTTCTCTCTCCGCTTTGCTTTTCCCGCCTTATGAGGAATGAGCTGAAAGACTCAGCGGAAAAAAAAGCAGTTGGATAATAAATAACTTATTGGAGGTTTTGGTGTGTAGTGTTGCTGAGTATTTTTACGAGTTGTGTCCGTATTTGACGAGCTCGTAAGGTGAGTCAAAATACAAACAACGATTTTGTATTTTTCATGAACAAGAAATTAGGATGCTTGATCCTAAGGAGTCTCATTACATAAACGTTTTGACGGTCGAAAAAAAAAAAAAACGAAAAACTAAGAAAAGGGAAACTACATCTTATACTGATAACATTCCTTGCTTGCTTCTTTGAATACTCGCGATGAAAAATCATTGATTTGCAAAGTTTGTGTTCTTACCTGAATCACAAAATAGTCGCGGTTAAGGTAAGTCAAGAGGCGGAGGTTTCGGAAAATAAGGAAAAGTCACAACTGTCTTTCATTTAAGTATTTTCTGTCGTTTCACTTTCAAAAGCATCAACCACGAAGTCGACAACTTGGTAAGAACACGTAAAAAGATATCCAGCATTCTGTCATGTACCAAGTAAATAGCACTAGAATATTGTTATTTAGAGTAATTTTGCATGAGTAATGTTTTAATTAATGGCAAAGCCTGGAATGAATCAGTCCTGTTTTCCCGGTTAATATTTGTCCTGTCACTTTAAAGTACTGTAACGTTGTGTAAAATTCGCCACCGAAGTTAAATGAATTTGTTATAAGGCGATCATATCAAACCTTTGTGGTCTCGCATCTTATTAATGATCCTCATCTGCTAAAAAAATATTCGTTTTCAGGGACATTCATCGGATAAATGCGCTCGTTGCTTTTAAATGAACAATCTTTGCAATTTTTAAATATTGAGGAATGTCAGGAAAGTTCCAAGTAAACTGTAGTTAGAGGTTTATCTGTCTTATTTCGGGCTAAAAATTTAAACGCTTAAAAGTCGGGGAATGCTAACTCGGAATCAGTGCTCAAAGTAAAATTAACACTAACTTACATCTGTGATTATCTCTTTTGCACTTTAACAAAACGGTAATGAACCAAAAGAACGATGTTTCAATAAAATCGAGCGAGAGAATTTCCAGTACAGACACTTTGGACGGTACATTATTTAAACTGTCGAATAGTTCTCAAGAAAACTAGAGCAATTTTCTCATTAATCATTCTTGTATTATTCATGAATAAGAAATAAAATTCAGTGATCCTAAGGCTCTGTATTGCAAATACCTTTTGACAGCCGGTATAACAAAATCAATAAACTAAGAATGGAGAAACTAGAACTTATATTTTATTTTTAGTTCGATCACAAATCCTGTTACAAATTCTTAGAAACAATGAAACTTTTGAAACGACCTCTAAGCTTGATATCAAATGATTTTCAAATATGAATGTAGTTTAAGTCAGGCACAACTGTCTATCACTTAAGTAAAATGTGGACAAAGATAGAAAAACTGAATATTACAACAAAAACTCTAAGAAATTTATTTTTTTGAAAGGTGACCAACCGACTTCTTCACTTTTTTTTTGTTTTTAAGTGGATATTGGGAATTCTAACACTTTCAGCTTGTTACAAATACTTTCCGGGTGTAATCGACCCAGCCCGTTTTTGTAACTTAACATGTGTGTTCCTGTTTGAAGTGACTCGTTATTAATCCAGATTATCGACCATTTAGTATTGTGTTACTAAAAATAATGTTTCCCTGATAACAGGAGAGGATTGCAATGGAAACCTAACAGCAGAGGCCATGACACCTTTCATGAGCATCGCCTTATTTGTTGCCCTGTTCTTGCTCAACTCAGATCGCATTCAGAAAGCCATTGAGATATGCAGCGAATGTTTGATTTTGTTAAATGGCACCAATCAAAACAGCAAAGACCAATTTGATTCAGCACTGCTACAATTTTACAGCGACATCTATACCGTTCTTTTCAGCGCTTATCGTCATATCTCTGACTACATAAATGCGGAAAGATACGGAAGGAAACTGTTTGACCTATACAGAGAGTATGGAATTATGCTTTATAAACTTGGCGAAAGCCTAAAAGCAAAGGAATATGTTGAGAGGGCCCTTGCCATAACAACCAAAATTGCCGACAGAAGCGGAGAAGCATCACGTTATGGAAACTTAGGTACTGTGTTTGAGTCGCTTGGCCAATACGACAAGGCTGAAGAGTATCTCCAGAAAGCGCTTGTCATCACAACTGAAATTGGCCACAGAGAGGGGAAGCATCATGTTATGGAAACCTAGGTACTGTGTTTAAGTCGCTTGGCCAATACGACAAGTATAAAGAATGTCACCAAAAGCGCTTGTCATCACAACTGAAATTGGCGACAGACAAAAGGAAGCATAATGTTATGGAAACCTAGGTAATGTGTTTAAGTCGCTTGGCCAATACGACAAGGCTGAAGAATATCACCAAAAAGCGCTTGTCATCAGAACTGAAATTGGTGACAGAGAAGGGGAGGCAACTAACTACGGAAACATAGGTACTGTGTTTAAGTTGCTTGGCCAATACGACAAGGCTGAAGAATATTTCCAAAAAGCGCTTGTTATCACAACTGAAATTGGCGACAGACAAAAGGAAGCATCATGTTATGGAAACCTAGGTACTGTGTTTGGGTCGCTTGGCCAATACGACAAGGCTGAAGAATATCACCAAAAAGCGCTTGTCATCAGAACTGAAATTGGCGACAGAGAAGGGGAGGCAACTAACTACGGAAACATAGGTACTGTGTTTAAGTTGCTTGGCCAATACGACAAGGCTGAAGAATATCTCCAAAAAGCGCTTGTTATCACAACTGAAATTGGCGACAGACCAAAGGAAGCATCATGTTATGGAAACCTAGGTACTGTGTTTGAGTCGCTTGGCCAATACGACAAGGCTGAAGAGTATCTCCAAAAGCGCTTGTCATCAGAACTGAAATTGGCGACAGAGGGGGAAGCATCATGTTATGGAAACCTAGGTACTGTGTTTGGGTCGCTTGGTCAATACGACAAGGCTGAAGAGTATCACCAAAAGCGCTTGTCATCAGAACTAAAATTGGCCACAGAGAAGGGGAGGCAACTGACTACGGAAACCTTGGAATTGTGTTTAGAACTGTTGGTGATTTTGAAGCTTCGGAAGTATGCTTGGAGAAAGCTTTATGGATATTTAGAGATATTGGAGATGGAAGAAAAGAGTTTGATATCCTTCTAGGTTACGCCGTTTTGTATTTATATCAATATAAAATCAAAGACTCCTTGTTGTGTCTCCATATGTGCATTGAAAAGTATGAGGAGCTGAGATATTTCTTGGGCGCCAATGATCAGTTCAAAACATCATTTCTGGAGCACACAGGAATGTTCCCCTACAAGCTGCTTTGTACTTTGCTTTGTGACACCGGAAATGCTCGGGATGCTCTTTATGTTGAGGAGTTGGGTCGAGCTAGAGGCCTATCAGACTTAATGGCAGAGAAGTACTCGGTTGAAACGCACATCTCTGCTAATCCACAATCTTGGGTTGGCATTGAGAACATTTTAAGAAAGAAAAATAACTGTACTTGTCTGTACATTTCTTATGTTCAGAATCGTCTGCATTTGTGGATCTTGAAAACAAGTGGAGTCCTTCACTATAGAAGAGTATCACCAGAAGAGAATCTAGTTCAGGCTGGGTTGCCCAAAGATTTGTCTTTGAGTCAATTTTTGGATGATAATTTCCGGAGTCTTGGTATTTTGCCTACTAAAGATTGTGAAGATCGGTCTTTAAATACGATTAAACTGCAATCTCTCTCTCCCGCACAAAAGAGCTCAGCAAGATTGTGACTCGTGGAAGAGGACGAGGACGAGGACGAGGACGAGAAAGTGATTTCAAGTCTATCTTTGTGTTACAAAATGTTTATTGCTCCCGTTAATGATTTTCTTGAGGAGCCTGAAGTCATTATTGTTCCTGACCGCAGGTTGTACAAAGTTCCTTTTGCTGCCCTGAGTGAAAAGGAGGGAGCCGAATACCTATCGGAGACTCATAGGATCCGTGTCATTCCTTCTTTGACGACGCTAAAGATCATTCAAGATAGTCCAGAGGACTATCACAGCAACACTGGTGCCTTGATTATAGGCAATCCCAAGGTTGATGGGCTGCAACCATTGCCAGGTGCAAGAAAAGAAGCGGAGATGGTCGGACGACTGGTGGGTGTTCCGCCTCTGATAGAAGAGAAAGCAACGAAGCAGGCGGTACTTGAGCGAATAAGTTCAGTGAGCTTGATACATTTTGCTGCTCATGGTAACGCCTAAAGAGGAGAAATTGCACTCTCCTTCATTCCTACTCCCAACAGTGGAAACGCTATCCCACCGCAGGAAGCTTACATGTTGACGATGGCTGATGTCTCACGAGTGAAAGTCAGAGCTAAACTGGTGGTAGTTAGCTGCTGTCACAGTGGAAGTGGAGAGATAAGAGCCGAAGGAGTTATAGGAATTGCCCGTGCGTTCTTAGGATCTGGTGCTCGCTCTGTATTGGTTGCGCTGTGGGCCATTCCAGACTCAGCAACAGAGAAGCTGATGAGTCGGTTCTACGAACACCTCATTGAAGGAGAAAGTGCCAGTGAATCCCTTCATCAGGCCATGAAGTGGATGAGAAAAACGGCTTGAACAAAGTGTCTCTGTGGGCGTCGTTTACGCTGATTGGAGATGATGTGAGACTCGAGTTTGACAAGCAGCGGCAAGACTCAGTGAGAACAGGTATTTCATAAATTAAAGTTAAATTAGATGTGAAGATGGCTATGACTTATTGGTCGTTGACTGGATGGGGATCCTTTGTTACCTTGAGCATCAGGCTAGTTTAATGTATATCTTTATCTATATATATATATATAGATAGATAAAGATATATATATGTATATCTACACACTTTTTTTTTCCTTTTTGGTGAGTTACTATCTTCGCTCTCTGGTGTAAAATATAGAATCTCACAGGTGCCTCTCTACCAATGAGATACAAGTAATAGCCACTTATTTTTACATATTGTGCTTGGTATAATGGTATTTGCTTTATATCCAAAATATTAATTGAGGTAATAATAAATTGGGTTGTTTAAAATTTTTTCATACAGGAAGAAAGACCCCGACAGAGTAAATAATGACAAGAACTCGAAGGGAACAGAGTTAAAAGACTTTTAGATGGATAAATTAAATAGAAAAAAAGAAGAGAAAATACTCTATCCAGTTTTTCCTTGACATTAAAAAAACAGCTATCCCAGGTTACGGGAGATTTATTCCAATTTTTTGTGCTTTCTTTTCCAATATTCTCAGGAGGAGTTGCTGTTTATGTACTCAATAATTTTTTGTTTTTCACGCAAAAATTATATTCTGATATAATAAGCACGAAACAATGTTGACCTACGTAAGGCTTTTGAGTAAAACGAATTCAGTAAAGTTAACCGGATTCTGTTTTTTTTTTTTTTTTTTTTTGACATCTCAAAACATTTGTAAACCTTTAGCTGAAATTCTAATAATAATCTATTTCACAAAAGTTTCCCTGATGGCCGGCATTAAACTATGATTTGATATCATGTTGTTAACTTGTGGCTACGCGATACGGAGAAATGGGTTTACTGTGGAAAGTCTGATATGCAAATATTCACTCGCTCACTGATTCACTCTGGTGGAGACTGTTGGGAATAAGTAACTTTGATCTTCTTTTTCTTGAAAAAGAAACAGAACTTACGGTTTTACTAATCACGTGAGGAAACTTGAAAACTTTTTGTTCTGGCCGTCGAAACGTATATGTAATGAAACTCCTCAGGATTAGGCATCCTTATTTCTTGTTCATGAATAATACAAGACATTTTTTAATGTCTTGCTTAAAAGCTTGAATTATTTTCTCTACAAAACTGTCGAAGGGGAAGAGACCGCGACGCAAAACATGAAAGAGTAAACAAAGACAAAGGTTCAACGTGAATAACCTAACATTTCATTTTGAGGATCGATTAATCCATTTTCAAATCACGGGCGAAAAGCTTGTATTAATACAGAACATTTTTCAAGTGAGAACCTAAGATAAATATTTAGGTATTGTAGCTTTTCGCAAGTTTGACGTCGGAATCCGATATAGATATTATTTTTCCTACGCGTAGATTGCTTTTGAAATTCATGGCAAGGGCAGATATTTCGCCACGTGAAATTGACTTTTATTAACACGCACGTTGTTTGTGAAGTCTTAGATGCTGTGTCGTAAATATAATTGTCCACATGATGCCCTAACGTCGATTGCATTTAGTTTCCAAGGCGGTGTCACTAAACTTCTGGATAAAAAGAAAAGCCCGCAAGATTTGACCGAATTACCCTTAATCTACCCTCTTACAGTTATGTTGGTGTTAATGTCTATTTAGTCACCGGAAATTCATTGTAAAGGACAATAAAATTTCGATTAGTTCAGCCAATCCCTTGAGCACGCATATCGTCAAGTGATGTTCATTATGTTATTTCATAATTTTCTTCCTTTGTCAACTCGTTCTCCATAAGATTCACTAGAGTAGTTTGATGGTTACTGGTATGTCGTCAATATGAGCGTTCACTTATCTCACGGACGGGCGTAGATTGTATGCTTGGCTTGTAAGGGTCATAACTTTTTAGTGACTGGCCAAGGGGGAAACTGGTAAGTCCACTGTAGTAAGGGAAGTCATCAACAATTTTCGAGCGGCTGGAAAAAGGTTTCTGTGGTATTTTCCAGTGGTATAGCATGCACGATCCTGGTGCCGCTTCTATCGTGCATTCCTATTATGGATCAGGAATTGCAGACCTATCACGGGGAAAGCTGTCTGCTTGGTTGATTGGGACGCTCGATTAATGCGAGGTGTCACTGTGGGATGGGAATAACAGTGATGGCAAAAGTAAGCTTAAAACAGCAGAAATCGTCAGAAACTGATATGGACACACAAGATGTGTGTACTTTTATTGATTTTACGTGTTAAATGTTGATTTCTCGAAATATTTCTCGTGATAAATCGACCATATTTCGCTCCCCATTCTATTCTTAATAACGAGTTCAACGCTCGTAACTTAACGCCAAGTCACACAACCCGTGACGCTTTCATGAATTAATCGGTTGCTTTTTTTCTCGAGACGTGAACTCGGACCACCTCTGCTGACACTGATCAGTAAAGTTCATTCTGCATTATGAATATGTCTTAATATGGGATTGATGTTAGTTTTTGATCACGTGATTGCTGAAACCATAAGTTTCTCAAATTAAACAATGCCTAACAATATCTTAACTACTGAGGTTGAAATATATTGTATAAAACCTTAACGGTTTGAAGAAAGAAATTTAACGGTGGAGATATAAAGTATCCGTTCAACGGTAAGGTACGCTTATACTATGAATGCAATAACAGTGAATTTAAGAAAGTTTCACTCCTCTGAGAAAATTAAAACCATCTCTCCGTGAGCGCGCAGCCTCACAACTTATCTTCCTGTGCGAGACTCTGGCGCTTAAACGAAAAAAAAAAAAAAAACAGATTACGGCTTTAGAAAAATATGTACCGTAGAAACCGCCCTTAGTATCCAAAAAGTTTAAGAGAAGGGTATCTCGACAATGAAACGCTTGTGTACAAGTAGAAATATGGCATTTCGAATCTAGCGCGATCTCTGAATCGTTCGTTCAACCCTCCTAAACAGATTCAAGTTGATAGCTGAAGTAGAGTCATAGCCACTGGAAAACCACGTGATCAAGCACCACGGATTTCCTTCAGCGAGGACAGTCCACAACATAAATAAAGGTCTGATTTTAGTTGTATGATCATCAATTTCTCAAATTGAACGATACTCAATAACATTAGTTAATGAGGATAAATTATACTGTAGAAAGCTACAGAGATTTGAAAACCGCTTAATAACGAATTTATTTCACTGTGGTGGCGATTCAATCGCGCCTTCAACCGCTTTAATGAAGGGCTAACGCTCGAAACAAGACACAACTTCATATTGCAAAAACAAAGCTCGAAAAAGCAGCTACTAGGCTCTGCCATAAGAGCCTTATCTCTCTACAGTTACTAAATAACTAATAAAAGCTGATAAAAATCGAGTGACTAGGAAAGATTTTCAATCGCGCTAACCAAGATGTTGACAATGTGGCTGATGCTTTGAAAATGAAACAATAAAAATAATGAATTACACTCAGGCCTTTTCTCAACCTTCAACTTCCGCTGTCAGAGTGTTTTAGGTATCTAGGTATCTAGGTCTCGTGTGTTTTAGGTTATTCCCGTCCCCCCCTCTAGGCTACTCGAAATAAAATTGCATATTGAAAACGGTTAGTGGTCATATGTTAAAATGCTTATTGACCTAATTTCCCTTCGGACCCTTCCACACAAACAATAAGAACACAGTATTTCGGTTTTGTACGTCACACTTTTATCGCTCATGATGTAGTTGAACATGGAAAATGAGAAGAGTTATTCTTTTATTTAATAGGAAATGTCAGGCTTTAGTGTTTACCCCTTTGAAAGGTTTGATTTTCATCACAAGATAGATCACAGCACAACCTAAGTTTTTTTTTTTTTTTTAACGCTAAGCTATCTTTTGCGTGATAATGGACTCATTGCCTTCGTGAACTTTTAATTTTCTAGCGGGTGTGATTTGCATGATCGAAGCCAAAAAATACCAACAAAACTTAGTGACTTTATTTTGGTTTGGCACGTCACACTATTCTAACTAATGATGAATTTGAGCATCAAAAATGACACATCTTACTTTGTTTATCCGAAAACATCAGGCTTCAGTGTTCATCCCTTTTAGTACGTTAGGATTTGCATCACGAGATCGATAAGATTGAGCGACAACTAAAGCTTCTGTCTTTAAACAGTAAGCTATCTGTGCGTGAAAATTGGCCCACTGTACACATGAACTTTTCATTTTCTTGCGGGTGTGATTTGCATGATCGAAG